AGTGATGACACCTCGCATACACAATGACGCATGATACACGGTGACACAGACACACATCACACGGTGAGGCCACCCCACATGGTGACGCTGGCCTGTACAGTGATGACACCTCGCATGCACAGTGAGGCCACCCCATACGGTGACGCCAGCCTGCATGGTGACACGTCACACAGTAAGGCCACCCCAAATGGTGAGGCTGGCCCGCAGTGATGCCACCCTGCATATCACATGGTAAGGCCACCCCATATCGTGATGCCAGCCCACACAGTGACACACATCACATGGTAAGGCCACCCCAGATGCACGGTGATGCCAGCCCGCACAGTGATGTCACCCCGCATGCATGGTGATGCATGTCACATGGTGATGTCACCCCACACACATGGTGATGCCAGCCTGCACAGTGATACATGTCACATGGTAATGCCACCGCACATGGTGACACTGGCCCGCATGTTGACACACGTCACGTGGTAAAGCCACCCTACACGGTGACACTGGCCTGCACAGCAACACCACCCCATGCGGTGATGCTGGCCTGCGCTCATGTGAGCCCTGTGGGGAAGTGAGGGGTGTCCCGCAGTCTGCCCACAGCACGGCGTGTGCACCTTACCCGGCAAGGGCCTGGCAGCGCCCAGAGTCAGGGGAAGCAGAGGAGATGGCACATGCCCCTCATCTTCCTCCCCTCCAGCCCCCCAGATAGTCTTTGTGGGCTCGGACCAACCTGCTGAACTTGCTAGAAACATGCGGGTGGTGATGGGTTCCTCCCTAATGAACATCGGAGCCTCAGCAGTGCTTAGACCACAGCTTGTCTGGGAGCAGACTAGGTCTGGGAGGGAAAAGTGGCCCCTGCCTGGTTTGAGGCTAGGCAGGCGACCACGGAAGCCCCTCAGGATGGAGAAGTGAGAATTCCCAGTGCCACGCTGAGCCTGCCACCAGACCTCGGAACTGCATGGAGTGCGGGACAGGTGGGTGCACCATGTATGTGGGTGCAGACAGGCTCACAGGGGTGCGAGGGCTAACAACGGACAAGGGATACTGCCATCCACGACCAGAAAGGGTGGAGGTTTGCTGGGGGTGGGCACACACAGACATGCTTCACCAGTATAACCGGGGCAGAGAGAGTTAAAACAGCAGGCAGCATGGACAACAGGGGCCCACAGGGACCAGGAGAGGTGCCCAGGGACCAGCTGGGGCTGGCACAGACGATGTCCCAGCAGCAGGTGTCTGCCCGCCTCAACAGCTGTGCCCTGTCAGGAGGGGGCAGCAGGGTGCACGGTCACAGACTAACCTCACCTCCCCGCCCTGTGCGGGTCTGGGCGACCACAGGCCAACCACCCCACTGTCCTGTTACATGACAGACATGCCCACCGCAGAGTCAGGATCAGAGATAAAAGACGTGCCTGTGGCCCCACGGTGTCCCTCAACTCCGGGCTGAACACCTCAGGGGCCTCAAGCTAAGGGTCTCAAGCAGGACTTGCATCCCTGCCTGCCCTGGCTCCATGTCGCCTCCTCCAGGAAGGCCCTGGGCCTTCTCCTGTAGCCTGGCACCAGGGCCCTCGGTCACAGCCACCAAACACACTCCCCCACGAGAGCTCCGAGCGCCTGCCGCAGCCCGAGCAGCTCAAGCCAGTTGCTGTTACGTGCCGTCGAGCAGGACCCAACTCACAGCGACCCCCCTTGGGTTTCTGAGGCACTATCACTACGAAAGCAGATGGCCCAACCTTCCTTCCGAGGAGTGCCTGGTGGGTTGAACCGCCAGCCGTCTGGTTGGCAGGCAAGTGTCTCAGAACGTCCTTTTCCTGACCGTGTGAGTCACTGGCAACAGCGAACCTGTGTAACATGTATGCGTTTGCTGTGAACCCGAATTCAACGGCAGCAAGGCGGCACGGGGAGCGCCTGAGGCAAGCCCCGGAGGGCTTTCGGGTTTTGTCGGAGACAATGACATGGGCGGGCAGCTTCCTCTTTCTGCCCATGTTTTTCCTTCAGGATGATCAGTCCGACTGTTCCTTGTCCAGGACGACCTGTGCCACAGTCACCCCCCCAAGTACAGTCTCGCTCCAGTGACAGCGTACGAAACGGGCTCAGAGACAAGTTACAGACACCCAAGGCCACCACTAGCAAGTCTCGAGGGAAAAGTTCCTGGACCGACGATGAGTAGCCCCTTCCCGGCAGGGGGGCCGCTGGGAGAGGGATGGGTAAGGCTCCCAGGAATGACAATCCACTAACCAATGCCAACAAGCGGCTCCTGCCATAAAGGGCATTTTTTAAGGCATCAGCAATAACTGATTGTGGCGCGGTTATGAAATGACACCTAGGAACAATTTTCAGGGCGCTAAATGGGGCCCTGTGGTGAAGGCATCCCGCTGCTAACCAGAAGGTGGGCAGTGGGATCAGACCAGCTGCTCCGCAGTCAGCTTCTGTGAAGATGGCAGCCTTGGAGACCCTGTGGTGCAGTTCCACTCTGTCCTCTAGGGGCGCTGTGGGTCAGAATCGACTCCAGGGCAGTGGGTGTGGTTTGGGCTTTGCTTCTGTGAA